CGACAGAGCAAGACTCCATCTAAAAAAAAAAAAAAAAAAAAAACAAAAAAACAAACCAGCTTGCTTGTTCATGTCCTTTCTCAAAGTCTACCACTCCCACCACCTCTAAGATACCTTCTTTTCTCAGTAATAGCCTTCTAATTGATCAAACTGTTTTGACTTTTGCCCCTCATCCAATACTTTTGCACTCAGTGTGGTGGTCTTTTGCACTTTTAAACTTTTTTTTTTTTTTTTGAGACCAGATCTCACTGTGTCACCCAGGCTGAAGTGCAGTGGTGTGATCATGGCTCACTGCAGCCTTGACCTCTTGGGGTCAGGTGATCCTTCCACCACAGCCTCCCAAGTAACTGGGTGCACAGGCGTGTACCACCATGCCTGGCTAATTTGTTATTATTATTATTTGTAGAGATGGGGTCTCTCTATGTTACCCAGGTTGAAAACTTTTCAATGATTCTTATTGCTCTTACAATAAAAACAAAATCATTAATATAGCCTCTGAGGCCCTGCATAGCATAGCCATTATCTACCTCTTTCGCCTCATAAAATTCTCTTTTAATACTGTTGACTCTAATTTTATTTTTATCTGATTCAAATTTTACCAGTTGAGTCATGGGTCAGTTGGTTGCCAGAAAATCTGAAAAAAAATCTCAAAACACCGATTTTAGGCTTTACAATAGTGATGCTATTCATAGGAGCAATTGGGGAAGTCACAAATCCTTTAGCCTCTGGCCACATAACTCCTGAGCAGTAAGGGATTATACAAACTACACCTACATTTTTGCAGAATTCAAGTCCTTCCCATAATCTAATCTTGTCGCCTTTCATTAGTCTTACAAAGGCAGTTTTCAGGCCCTCAGCAAGAAGCAGGTTAGTTTTAGTATGGGACTATTATCATCCTTACTTTTAAGTTAAGCTGCAAACTAAATTACATGGTTAGCTTGGACTATGCCCAGTAGTGAGCAAATACAGCTTAGAGGTTAGGGGCAAGATGGAGTTCTCCATGTCAGACTTCTTTTGTTAAAATTTTGCAAAGCCAGTTTCAATCCCCCCTTTGGATTTCAGTACACTTCAATCCTGAAGTGTGAGTTACAGCGATGGGAAAACACCAATGACTACTCTAACTTCTTCCTGCTGACGGGGGATAGTTGGAGTAGGGTTTGCCCCAGGGTAAGAGGAGTGAAACTGTCTTGCAGTTGTTTGTATGTATTCACAAGTGCCTAGTTAAGATCCCAAGGTCTGCATAACAAAACATTAACACTCTTACCTATAGCTTTAGTATAGTACTTAAGTGAACAGTAGACTTAAAATAAATAATAAGCCCTAACATAAGAACTGAAAATCCTAGCTTCAGGTGTCACTGTAGAAATGATGTGAAGCCTTGAAGGATCTAGGTGAATGACCTTGAGAACCAATCAAATACAGGGTCATCAGCAGAGACTCAAAAACAATGGACTGGAATCCAAAAACAATGAGCTGGAATCTAGTGACAGGTATACTATAGTTTTTCCAAAGCATAATTTTTCTCTCTTGAGTTTTCCAATTCTACCAAAGATAAATCATAGTAGAACCAATTTATTTGCAAAATAAGTATTAGTCGTATTACGCTTGGCTTAATTATTTGCATAAAGTGCAGCAAGAAAAATTATTTGCCATAAAGGCTTAAAAAAACCCACCTAGCTTTGCTGGAACTTCTCATAAGGAATCTCAGATTAGACATTTTAACAGCCTCTTGAGTCCAGTCAGGGATATTCGTACCTGCAGATAACTGTGTGAATTGAGTGAATTGCTCTCTTCTCAGGGTACCAAAATAACTTGGGGTTCCTGGGCCTGTCAGAAAGTAACATTCTTTACTTACCACAGGCTTGGAACCCTATAAAGGACAAAGTACAAGGCCAGTGTTCCCAAGGGTCTCTTATCAGCTCTGTAGGTAAGCCTCAATTTGCCAATACAGTCTGAAAACATGTCATTCCAGTCAAAGCCTTGGTAATATAACCAGTGTCCCCAATTGTGTTCTGTTACAAAAGAAAATGGATTCTTACTGAACTTATGCAAATAATGATATTGCCATAAGTTAAGAATAATCACAAATAGTCTGCAAATTCTGGGGAAATTGGGTAGAAAGAAATGTGCTCCGAATTTTCTTCACAGGAATATACTTGACTCAATTGTTAAAAGCTGTCAAATAGCTCAAAAGAAAAAAAAAAGTTGGCCGGGCATAGTGCCTCTCACCTGTAATCCCAGCAATTTGGGAGGTTGAGGTGGGTGGATCACTTGGGGACAGGAGTTCAAGACAAGCCTGGACAACATGGCAAAACCCCATTTTTACTAAAAATATAAAAATTAGCTGGGCATGGTTATGAGTGACTGTAATCCCACTTACTTGGGAGGCTGAGAGGGGAGAATAGCTTCAACCCAGGAGGCAGAGGTTATAGTGAGCCAGGATTTGCACCACTGTACTCCATCCAGCCTGGGCAACAGAGTGAGACTGTCTCAAAAGAACTTTAAAAAGTTAAAAGAAAAAAAGTGTTCTTAACTCTGAAAATTAAAATAAAAAGAATCAGCAACATTTTAAGCAAAAAGTCATAAAAAGATAATTTCAGTCTTCTATTAGTTCAGTCCACATGATTAACTCCTGTTCTATTTGATATTGGG